GTGCAGATGCCGGCAAAACCCATTTAAGTCATCATTGTTTACTGGCTCCTTAGCCCTGATGATGTTTGGAGTTTCCAAACGAAAGCTTGGCAGCTTTTAGTAAAGTATATTTTTATATTTATATTCTCCTGGTGTTCGTATTTTATTCGTACCATAGACATGCCCAGGAGTCGTATTTTTATGCAAATTTTCCAGCATACATACATATATGTATATGATTATATATTTTTCTAACTAATTTAAACACACATGTATATAATTGTAACTAACTTAATTAAGAAAAAAATAATGTTAAACCTTAATTCCTTTCAATTCATTACACAAACTTCAAATTCCATCCAATTAATTATCATACCTTATCAGATCATATTATTATACGTAAAAATCACCTAATCAATTTACGCACTTCAAAAATACATTCTCATAACTAAGCATTTTTTCAATTCTAGAACATACATACATACATACGTATATGTATATGATTATATATTTTTCTAACTAATGTAAACACATGTATATAATTGTAACTAACTTAATTAAGAAAAAAAATAATGTTAAACCTTAATTCCTTTCAATTCATAACACAAACTTCAAATTCCATCCAATTAATTATCATACCTTATCAGATCATATTATTATACACAAAAATCACCTAATCAATTTAAGCAGTTCAAAATTCCATTCTCATAACTGAATGTTTTTTCAATTCGAGAACATATATATATATATGTATATGATTATATATTTTTTATCCTTAATACAATTTCATATTTCTGTACCAAGCAAATTTCCATAAAGCAAAAAAAAATCATCTAACTTAAACACACATGTATGTAATTGTATTTTTTTTTTAATTCTAACTCTAGATCATTATCCTTAAAACAATCCGTAAAACCAGCATTTCCTTTTAATCCATTAAACATTTTTAAATTTCTTTTTCAGTCTAATTCTGGGTTTTTTTCTATGCCACACAGGCTTCCATAGAAGTGCTTCCCTTTCAACCAATAAATCCATTCTTGTTGCTTGTAGTAATCTTTGAGAAAATATAAATCCCTTCCTCTGCAGTAAACACCTTTTTTTCCTTTCAACCAATAAATCCATTCTTGTTGCTTGTAGTAATCTTTGAAAAAATATAAATCCCTTCCTCTGCGGTGAATGTCCTTTTCTCTTCTCCTTGCAGTGTAGTTGCTTTGTAGCTTGAGATCTTGAGATCTTTGTAGTCTTTGCTTCTTCTGATTCTCTAATTTGCTGAAGAGAGGGTTGTCAGATGAAATAAATTCCTATCTCTGTAGATTCCTCTTCTGGTAGATTTTGATTTATGTTATAGTCAATTGTAGCCTGAACATTAGTTTGAACAAATGTAGTAAAGTCTCTGGATCTTAAAGAACGGTTTTTAATTGTATCACATATTTCTGCAGTGGCCTCATAAATCTTTTCCAATATAAATGCACAGTTCAATTGTAGATGAGGTTTCTCCATTTTAATATTAATGCTTAAAAGAAGATCTCTTTTTCTTTTTTCTGGAGGCTATATTTAATGCAAACAACATCTACCCCCACAGCTTCATAGCTGCACAGCTTATCTTTCCCTCAAATGTGTTTTGAAATTCAGTAGAAAAATAAGCAGAAGTTGCAGTATTAAACATTCGCCACTAGATGCCCTCAGTAAGTTGAAAAGTCTTTTCAAAAATCAATTCCTTTTTTCTCTTTTGAGAAAATATATATATATATATATATATATATATATATATATATATATATATATATATACATACATACATACATACATACATACACATATATACATATATAGGAAATAATACAGTTCTTAAAAAGAGAGGAGAGAGAAAACCTTTTCCGTCTTTTTTCCTTTATAGTATCCAAATAAAAGTAAAAAGTAGTCTTTCAGTAATTATAAAAAATGTCTTTCTTTCCCCCCCAAAAAAGCAGAAGCCGCCTTTCCAAGCCAGGAAATAATTCCAAAAGCTCTTACAGGTACACAAACATAAAAAAGTAGAAAAGAGAGAGTTACAAGAAAAAATTCTCACCCAGATTCATCACGGGGGCACTCAGAGCTTAGATGTTGTCTGACTTATGGTCTGAAGTGGCAGGGCGATCAGCCATTTTACTGGCCAATCTTCTTCTCCGTCGGCCCTCGGAGATCCTCCGCAGCCGGACAGCAGCCTCCTCGACGGAAGTCGCACCCTTCAGGGCGACTTTGGACCCGTATAAGGGTCCACCGATGGAGGGAAATCTAGCCAACGAGGGGAGAGGTCTCCCCGTCTGACTGGTGACGCCGCGAACCAGAACCGGAAGCCACCAATTTTCTTGTATTGGACACACTGCTATGGTTTTGAGATACAATCAAAGCATGCAGAAAATTGTAGGTTAGATTTAGTTTCTTTGAAAAATATAGCAAACTTGTCTGCCGGTCTATCTGCAAAGTGGCTTATGATTGTGACTTAATAAGCAAAAATACAAGGAATTATTATGGAAACAACAGCCTCTGTTCTGAAAAAAAAAGCAACAGATACTGTTCACAAACAACAAACATTAGTAAAATTTTGTGCTTCAGCAAATGTATTACGACTTCATTAGTTACTGCAAACAATGCCATATTCATTGTGTAACTAAAAAAAATGTCTATGAAGATATAGACCTATAATGCCAAAATGGACATCCAAGTCTAAAGTGAGTAACTTATAACCCAGGTGTCCTATGCAGCCTCCAAATCTGGCAAAGATATGATTTATGTCTCTAATGAACAATCTGCCCTTAACTCAAGAGCCTACCATCTATTGCAGAAGAGAAGAAAAAGAGGGTGTCAGAAATAGAAAATGAGAGATAATTTTATTTGTAACATTTTGCTGCTTTTTAATTAAACTATTCCAAGTTAGTTTACAATGATTATTAAAAATAAAGTAAAAACTTATCTTTTTTTAAAATAGTGACAAAATCAAGGAAGGTCTGGATGAGAGACACTTTGCAGAACATATTACTATGAACAAAGGAGCCATCCTTGAGATGTTGAAATAGGTATTGTGAAAGGTTCAGGCTGCCTGCAGTTTTCTAAGTTGCCTACATGGATACATAGAGCAGTGGTTCTCAACCTTTCTAATGCCGCGACCCCATAATACAGTTCCCCATGTTGTGGTGACCCCCAACCACTTATACATCACCGGGTGCCAGGGGCGTGGCCAAAGAAAAGGGGGAAAAATGGCAGACAGCCTTGTTTGGTGACCCCCGTGAAATGGTCGTTCGACCCCAAATGGGGTCCCGACCCACAGGTTGAGAACCACTGACATAGAGAATACTTCCATTGGATTGGCTGGCAAAATAAGATGGCTATGTATGCTCAAAGTTGCTTTGTATTTCAGCTGACAAATCTGAATTTATTAGTAATTCTAGGCTACATGCCTGTTCTTCAGAGGGAGTGCAACTCCATCAAAAAACCAAACAACTACTCAGGACCTGAGTATTACCTACACACAGAATTTCAGACCTACCAGGATTCAGTTGTAGCCTATTTGCTTTCATTTACTCTGCATTCAAACCTTGAACTGCAGTGTGTTGGACTTGGTTATGATGACAACATTTCATTCAGATTTGACAGAGGATCAGAGCTATATGTCATCAGCTTAACAATGATACAATTTCTCATTTTTAAACTGACAGCATGAAAGTACACTAGGTAAGTTGGTAACGTAGAGATTACATTGACTGGGATAGCAATTGACAAGTGATGCTTCTAAGATGAGGATTATTTCTGAAGTTTATAATATCTCAATGATATCCATGTAAGAATACGTTTGTTTTATATGCTTCAAAACTAAACTCATTTTATCTACCAAATATTTTATTAAATAAAAATAGATTTAAATAAAACAATTCCAAATGGAAACAGTTTTATCTCTAAAATAAAATCAGATTAAAGCAATCTCTGAAACCATTTCTTATAAATGTCTTTCTTTACAGGGGTACGAAAGGAAGGTAGACTTTGAAAGGCATGGGAAACAAATGGATTCAACTACTAATGTGATAGAAATTTAATTTTTGGTCTTCAAAATTTGAAAATTAGGGAACTTTGTATGTTCAACAGTTCTGACAATTTTACCCTAATTTACTGAAATAGAAAACATGAAGTGATAAAATGTTGTATGAATGTGGTATGTGTGTGAGAAAGACATTTAGTACAGAAGGGGCATAAGTCATTCGGTTATAAGATCTTTCTAAAATTTGTCTGTGGCTGGCATGCCTCCAAATATTTCTGACCAATTGGTTGGATAAAGTTTATCTATAGTCATTCTCCCAAGTATATCCTTCATTATTGACTATTTCTGCCTTTTGTAATGATTTGTGAGGGTTTGGCTAGGTTTAATGAATTTCTAGTACTGAATTGTCAAGCTTAATGAGATACTAAATCCACATTATTTGCATATTCTTCTGTTTACTAGTAGATTGTAAAATATATACAAAGTCCCAAAATACCTCTCTTGCTAATTGCTGCAGCAGATGCTCTAATGATGTAAAAGGATGAGCTATGGTGATGGTATTAATTTTACAGTTCTAAAATGATTCTAGCTTCAGTAGTTGGTATTTTATTCCCTTTGCTGGTGTTTTCTGCCTTCCCTTTAAGACTACAAGAAGCAAACTTTGGAAGGTTTCTATTAAAAATTGGCATGGAAAAAACATATAAAATGTTACAGAGATGCCACCTCCTGTAGCTAAGTTGTTAGAAATCCTTCTAACTCCTGGCTAATTTATGAACTCCAATAGCTGAAGAAAATACAGACTAAGGAACCCCATGTGTCTTTTTGTCTTAGTCTTTTTTGTCCCGGTATCTCTCAGTATGGTGCACTATAATTGGCTCCTATAGAGATAAAACATAGAATGAATCCAAGGATATGCCTTTTCCTTCTTAAAATTTAGTTGGGAGCTAAAGCAAACAAAATGTTTAACTACTTCACTAGCTAATAATTCCTCTCTCTTTGTTGTTTTTAGAAAATTTAAACCAAAGTGCAGCAAGATCATCATTGATTTTGATTCAATTAACAGCAAACCAAGTCAAAAGCCTCTGTGAGTTACATCTAATTAAATCTCGAGAAGAGTGTGATTATCCTTTTCTTAGAAGCTGCTAATGCCTTTCATCCTGAAGTTAGGCATAACTTTTTAATAGTCACTATAGTTTAAGCAGACATCTAAGGAATGTGTCAGAACTTGAACATTTGTGCTTTCTCTACTATACATTTAAACTTTGACTTCCAGGATTTTACTAAACCTTCTGTAAATGAACTGTATGTGCGTTTTGTATTAGTGGATGAACAACGCAAAAGGCATTCAATATATTGTGTCAATTAGCCAGGATCTCATCTGACTTGAATTACATTTACAATTCATATTCTATGAATATTCACTGTACAAGAACGGTTGAAGAATCACTTCAGCAGCATACAACTAAGAACACATGTTCTAGCTTAATTTAGTTCAAACTGGCTAGACAGTTATATAACTGGTAGGTTAACTTTGAAACCTTTAGCTACTTAATTGCTTCTTTATTTGATTTACATTTGAAAATGTTTTGCATTGGATAAAATTTTACAGTAGCTTTCATCCCCCTTTGCCCCCAAATACCTTATTTTTCTTAAAAGATGTGAATAAATCATCAGTACCAATAAGAACTTCTTTGGAGCTGATTTTTTACACCCTGAAAAGTAATTTGTCCATTTATCTAAACTTCTGGGAGACAATCTAATAATTTCAATGCTGAAATTAGCCTCTAAGTTAATCAGTATTTTCTTCTAAGAGAAATGAACAGGCTTAATCCATATTGAGGCTATATATGCCAAATAGATCATGGTTTTAGCTTGCTTTTGTTTGTTAAAATTGGCATAAGTTTATGAAACATTGATTAAAGCTTATACAAACTTTCAGTATAGGTTCTTTTGTTTGATTTTGAAACCAAATATATATTTAGATGCTCAAATTATTTCATTTTAAAAACATGTTTTGTGAAGTTTGGTATGTATATTTGTATTAAAATCATTCTGTATGTTGAGTATTTTTTAATATGTCATCATACTAGCATTATAAAATCTATTAAAATCTTACTTTGTGCAATATAAAAAAATATTATTCTATTACTAGGCTTGGTTCTAAATCCTGTTTCTTAAGTCATATGAAAAGTATATTTTTAATATTTGCTTTTTTAAAAAAAAAAAAAGTTTGTTTATTCTTTTATTACCAAAGAAAATACAAAAGAAAGGAAACAACAACAAACAAATATCCAACACTAACAACAACAAAAAATATGAAAAAAACAAGTAACAAATACATCTAACACAGGTGTCAAACTGCCGGCCCGCGGGCCGGATGCGTCATCCAGAAGCTGCGCCCACCCCATTGCCGGCAATGGCAAAACCGTCCCAATACGTTGCGCGATGTCACGTGACGTCGCAGGTTTGACATGTCTGATCTAACATCTAAAAATCTATCCTGGTTGAATGGTGAAAGATATGTCAAAAATCTAATATATACCCTTCCCTTTACATAATATATAATACTTGTGTTATAATTAAATAATGTAATACCTTCAATCATTGGTCATACTAGCTATGCTTAGAAGAACCTATTATATTTGTTATTCTTGAAGTAGATGGCTAATTTCATTAAAGAAATGTAAATGCTGCATAGTTCTGGAGTATTGTTCTTAAATTGAAAGAGAAAAGATCTAGTCAATATATTTTGTCAAGTAAAGAAATACTAGATTATATAAACTGTACAATATTAGAGCAGCAAAGGCTTTTCCTTAGATTTTGTTTTTTCATTAAACCTCCTCTAGCCTTCTGTCTTGCTCTATGGAGGTACATCCAGTGTAGGTGAAAATAGGACTGTGCTGAGATTGGTGCTATTTTGCTTAACCATAAATTACTATTGGTTAGGCAAATGTAAATGTAGTTCTATAATCTGCTATTAATGTCATGCCCTTTTTCACACCAATAAGTGCAACTGGCCAAAATATTTTAAGAAAGATCGTATGGACAGTGGAAAATGTATGAATATTATCAACTTTTTTTATGACGAATAGATTCTTTGTACAACTAAGGAAATTTTTATTAATTTGAAAATAGGAAACAAATTGCTAATGTAGCCAGAAAATTGATTACATTCTTAAAATGGTAACAGTTTAGAAATTGTGGCTTTCAAAGAACATACTTTTAATTTAAAATGTGAAATAGAAATGACTTAGTGATCTACACCTGATGATGAAATAAGCATTTCTGTTACATTTCTCTAAATAATAAACCTGTATATTTCACAAGATTTTTTTTTTTAAAAAAAATTAATTTACATTTTGGAGCAATAGTTTTTTTAACTCAATATATCATAACCAATAACTAAGATTTCTGGGAGTTTTATCAGTTTACCTGAAAAGGTACTGTTTGCCTGCTTCATAATCCAAATGATATGCATAGAAATTGGCAGAAGAGCTGCTGGAGTGCTATGAAATTTGTTGGAAAAATTAGGGGGACATAACTAAGGCAGAATATCAGCAAATAGCCCGAGCCTGCAAAGATGAAGTGAGGAAAGCTAAGGCTCAAAATGAATTAAGGCTTGTGACCAAAGTCAAAAATAACAAAAAAAAGCTTCTTTCAACATGTAAAAAAAACAAGAAAAATGTTAAGGAAATGTTTGATCCATTAGTTATAAGTAAATTTTGTTCTTCAAGGCCAATATATGGCAATTTCCACACCAGGTATTACCAGTGCAACAAACAAATCAGCATTTCCAAATACTTTGGTCTCTCACTTCAGACAGTCTTACTATCAAGGGATTGTAGATTTACTATTAGCGTGAGAATAATGCTCTTTACAGTCTTTATATCCAGAACAAATAAATATTTAAAGTACACACTTCCATTAAGAACTCTGCCATGTTTTAAAAAGCAAGATAGCAGATTGTCTTTGCTTTTTTGAGTTCTACCTATAGCTACCATACTGAGTCAAGAAGGCTAAGGTTAATCAAAGTTTACATATTAAATGTCTGATTGCTCTGTTGTTAGTTCTGATATGGAGGATGAGTGGAATTTTTTTGTCCCAAACTGGGAATTGGGGTAAGGGATGATTTCCAATTTCTGCTAATAGTGTGCCTGTAAGTGGCTACATATTGAAGGAAACATTCCATATATACAAGGTCAGATTTGTAAGGCATTAACAATTACAACATCATAATGTTGCTGAGTGTCATTACCAATGGATAACACAAAAACTCTGTAGTTTTCAATAGATTACTACATTCAAAGGAGAGACAGGCAAGAAAGAGCTTGAATCCCAATGTGTCTAATATTTCTGTGTTGATCTTCAAAGATACACCGTTATAAGGAAGAAAGTTGAAAAACTTTTTTTTTCAGGCTTGAAATAAGTCTACTTTTGACATTTGTTTATGTCCAATAAAATAAATGTATACTACCCTAAATAAAGACTAAAGAATAAAATACATGTACATGGAATTTACTGAATTAATTACTGGCACAGTCTTTATACTGCCTTGCCATTACTTCCTTAACTAGAAGAAATACAAAATAGTTGCACCCTCAATTAAGGGTAGGCATGGGTTATAATTCTATTCAGAAAAGCTCACAGCTTTTGTTACAAACACAGGTTATTTGGTTAAGACACTTGAATTTAAAGCTAAATTACAATATAAACTGAAAAATCAATCATCTATGTCACTCCAATCAGAAAGTACCAGAAGGTGAATGGAAGATATAGGTCAGTGGTAGCAAACCTATGGCACGGGTGCCAGAGGCGGCACTCAGAGCCCTCTCTGTGGGCACGCGCGCCATCATCCCAGTCCTAGGCCTTCACTGGGTTTTATAAAACCTTTTCGCTTTAGGCCTCTGCTGCCGTGTACAAAAAAAAAGGTTCAATCAATCAGTTAATTTCAACTTCTTGCGGGAAAAAAAAGACCTTGTAAAGTTGGAATTGATTGATCAAACTTTTTAGTCCCACCCAGTCTGCCATTACCACTGCAGCCACGTCCACCCAGTGGGCCACGCTCAGCCAGTGGGCCACATCCACTCGGCACCCAACGATGCATAAGTGGGCTTTGGGTTGCAGTTTGGGCACTTGGTTTCTAAAAGATTTGCCATCACTGATATAGGTCAACAAAATAGGAAGCCAATTGGTTGATTCTTGTTACAACCAATGGATCAACTTTCAGGTGATCTAAATAAATAAAGATCCTACATTTGTGGGAGAAGGAAAAGGAGAAGTCCAAGGCAATCTTAGATATGACCTTTGATTGGAAATCACATGAAAAAGTCAGCTAGTATTTCCCTTACGAATAAGAATCGACCAATGAATAATGGCAACCCAACATAACAACCCCTTGGTGGTTCTGCCTTGATTTCTACCCTGAAGTATGTAACTTTTATAATGCAGTAATTATAATGTTATTTTTGTTATATTTTAGAAGGAAATAAAATATCTGTTAGGACCATGTATACTTTGAATATGGAAAGAAAAAAGATCTCTAAGTGCAAGTATAACAACTTTCTGCTATCACAGCAGCAACATTTTCCTCCAGTTTTCCACATTAGGGACTCATTAATGTGATTTTTAAACCAATAGCCTCTTTTTTGCAGGTCCACAGGGAACACCCTGAAAGAAGACATAGACTATTTAATGAATAGCAGAGATGTGTGATTTTGATAGTTCTAGAACACTACTTATAAATCATTTAAAAATATCAGTCCTGTTAATTTACTGTCCAATTTTCCTTCTTATCTGCAAATTCCAAAATTCTGATTCTATTGAAGGAGATTGGTGCAAACAGAAAAAGAAAAGAGGAAGAGAACAGCCACCTAAAGTGGTATTTTTGAAACTTGTTAATATTAAGAAGTGTGGAGCAACTTCCAGAATTCCCGTGCTGGGGAATTTGGGGAGCTGAATCCACATATCTTAAAGTCGACAAGTTTGAAAAATATGGATCCAAAGACACAAAACTATACAACAATTCTTGTTTCAGAACTTCAGTACTAGTACAAATGCATGCATATCTTAGGCTTTCGCGTTAAATCCATAGAAATCGCGTAAATGCACTCACACAGCAAAATGCTTTAGAAGTCATATTTGGGAAATGTTTTTCTCACTTTAAAGAACACTACAAGTCCTTCTAGAGTCCTTGAGTTTTCATTACATTCTCTGGAGAAACAAGCTTTGTTGAAGATGTGTTCTTGTACATATACCAGGCAAATGCCTTTTTCTATACTGTATTCCATCCATCTAGGACTGCAGGCATCTCAGCTGGGCATGTAGAGATGTGAGGATAAGCAATGCAGGAATATGTCTACCTGTATGGGCTGTCTGTTTTGATTTGGGGGAGAAAAAAAACTCTCAATGACTGCTGCACAGGAGAAAGACAGATTGTGGAGAGGGAGCGTGGAGCCTTTTTCTGAAAAGAAGCCAGGAGCAATATTCATTAAAGTATGTCTGATTTTTCAAGGATCTGGAAAGAAGGTTTGAATTAACATGGGAAATGAAGTTAAACTTTACATCATTTTGATATAACTATACTAAGAAATGCAGGATAAAAACTTATGTGCATCGTTTTGTTTACAGAAACAATGCATGTGTGAAGGAAAATAAATTGCACTCATTGCCACAGATTTGATAACTACTTTGATATGAATATAGAAAAAATAGTGTATTTATAATTCAGAATTTAATCTATCTGATTATATGCAGTATATCTAATGGCCATATTTTCTTGAAGTTATCAGATTTTCAAATTCAATTGCAATTTTTATGCTCTGCTCACTGATAGAATTCTTCTGTATCTTGACATACAGAAAGAATATCCTGGCCCTGAAAGAGCCATAAGGGTATGAATCCAAACTATTGGTGGATGAGAACATACTAGATAACATCTTTTCTACATCCTTAGAGGCTAAAATCCAGATACGCCAAGATATTGCCCCAATAATCACACTGGACTCTTCCCTTGAAGAGTCTAGTAACTTGTAAATCTGAATGATTTTATCAACCAAACTGGTAAAAGTGGTCAGGCAGGAGCTCTGTTTGATATCTCCTCACTAAAAAGG